TCTGAGCCACTAGCTGACTGATTTAATAGCTCTCTTTTCGATAAGGCTTTCCCTTTCTTTTAAAAAATGGCTATGGCAATAGACGTTGTCTCTGAGCCACTAGCTGACTGATTTAATAGCTCTCTTTTCGATAAGGCTTTCCCTTTCTTTTAAAAATGGCTATGGCAATAGACGCTGTCTCTGAGCCACTAGCTGACTGATTTAATAGCTCTCTTTTCGATAAGGCTTTCCCTTTCTTTTAAAAATGGCTATGGCAATAGACGTTGTCTCTGAGCCACTAGCTGATATATTGAATAGCTTTCTTTCGATAAAGCTTTCTCCTTCTTATAAAAATGGCAATGGCAATAGACGTTGTCTCTGAGCCACTAGCTGACATAATTAATAACTCTCTTTTCGATAAAGCTTTCCCCTTCTTTTAAAAATGGCTATAGCAATAGACGTTGTCTCTGAGCCACTAGCTGATATATTCAATAGCTCTCTTTTCGATAAAGCTTTCTCCTTCTTATAAAAATGGCAATGGCAAAAGACGTTGTCTCTGAGCCACTAGCTGATATATTCAATAGCTCTCTTTTCGATAAAGCTTTCTCCTTCTTATAAAAATTGCGATGGCAATAGACGTTGTCCCTGAGCCACTAGCTAATATATTGAATAGCTCTCTTTTCGATAAAGCTTTCCCTTTCCTATAAAAATGGCAATGGCAATAGACGTTGTCTCTGAGCCACTAGCTAATATATTCAATAGCTCTCTTTTCGATAAAGCTTTCCCTTTCCTATAAAAATGGCAATGGCAATAGACGTTGTCTCTGAGCCACTAGCTGATATATTGAATAGCTCTCTTTTCGATAAAGCTTTCCCTTTCCTATAAAAATGGCAATGGCAATAGACGTTGTCTCTGAGCCACTAGCTAATATATTCAATAGCTCTCTTTTCGATAAAGCTTTCCCTTTCCTATAAAAATGGCAATGGCAATAGACGTTGTCTCTGAGCCACTAGCTGATATATTGAATAGCTCTCTTTTCGATTAAAGCTTTCCCTTTCTTATAAAAATGCGATTATGGCAATAGACGCTGTTTCTGAGCCACTAGCTGATATATTCAATAGCTCTCTTTTCGATAAAGCTTTCCCTTTCCTATAAAAATGGCAATGGCAATAGACGTTGTCTCTGAGCCACTAGCTGATATATTGAATAGCTCTCTTTTCGATAAAGCTTTCCCTTTCTTATAAAAATGGCTATGGCAATAGACGCTGTTTCTGAGCCACTAGCTGATATATTCAATAGCTCTCTTTTCGATAAAGCTTTCCCTTTCCTATAAAAATGGCAATGGCAATAGACGTTATCTCTGAGCCACTAGCTAATATATTCAATAGCTCTCTTTTCGATAAAGCTTTCCCTTTCCTATAAAAATGGCAATGGCAATAGACGTTGTCTCTGAGCCACTAGCTGAAATATTTAATAGCTCTCTTTTCGAATAAACTTTCCTTTCTTTATAAAAATGGTTAATGCTTGTCCTATTTAAAAAATAGACGAACTAACAGGCGACTGAGAATCAGAAACTGCAATAGTTTATAAATGGTTATGTGAAACTGTTTTGTGCTTAACGATGGCAAAAGCAAGCTTATTGCTATTGAAGCCAACCGATTCAATTTAGAGGAATCTAAAGTTCAAATTAATGGTTTTACTTTAAAAGAAAGCAAGAATGTTTAATTGTTAGGAGAAACATTGGGCCACCAACATAGATAAGAATAACATTTTAAATTTTTTTTAAAGAAGCTGGAAGAAAATAAACGGTCTTATTTCATCAAGCTTTAATTTTTATCCTGTTATTTGGATGTTTTGTATTAGGAAAGTAAAAGCCGGAGAAAAATGATTCATCAATCTACTTTTGAACAAGTTTTGATAAAGAATAAAACAATAAATTTTCACAAGAAAAATTTAAGATATCCTGTAATAGAAATTTATAAAAGATTTAACAGATTAAATCCTCCTTATTTGGATGAACTATTTTCCATAAATGAATTAGGAACCTTTCAATTAGGAACCTTTCAATTAGGAACCTTAAGAACCTTTCAATTTAAAACAGCGGAGCCACATTACAAATTTGGATTTTGTGCAGGGTTATAGATATGGCAAAATATTGACCTCACTACCAAGCGAAATTATATACTCTCCAACTTTACATATTTTAAGAAAGAAATCTCAGAATTTTTATTGTCATCTGTTAGTTTTGATTTATATTATATTTAGCGACGATAATTCAAGTTATTTTGTTTTAATTATATTGAGTATAGCTAGAAATGGTACCAACATTAATAAAGAAAAAACGGCAAGATATGTCACGCCTACAAAGGTAGCTATCTGGATGTTGCCTTATGATCGCTATTAATTAGTCCCGAATCTCCAATAATTATGCTGAAATATATTGCTTTGTCATGATATGTATTACTATTTGCAAATGCTGTTTTCTAGGTCCTGTGGCTACATCGATTTGAGACGTGACAAAAATACTTTGTCAAACTCTCTGCCAAGGACACGATTAAATATGATGAAAAGACTATTAAAATAAATAAGACAGCACAATGCTCAAAAAGAAAGACAGACTCGTGACAGGTTTGTGAATATTTTGTTTTGTTACAATTTCAAAACTTGTTGCTAGTTTCTTTTGCATTCACCATTTAGTCTTACTTTTTCATCTTACTGTTCTATGCTGGTCTTTCGTGCTCAGCATCTTCTAAAATCTTTTTAATTCATGGGTATTAGTCGATTGGATCTGCAAGAAGTTTCTCTCTTTTAACATTTTGCTGGCAATTTTATTCACAAACATATCGTCTTTCTTTTTACAGCGAATCCATGTATTCTTAGGCGGAAATCTGCTTGAGAAAGCACTTGACCACATTCAAAGTTTGGAAGCTGCTTGGTTCTCTGAATGGCTGAAGTCTGATGACGTAATGTTGCCCTTACATTAACCTAGTCTTAAAAACATCGTTTGACTTCTTTAATGTATGTTTCAAAACCACATTAAGTCTATGGCTGCCAGATGAACAAGTATTAAATCATGCAACTTTGTAACTGCTGTTGCGGTGACTTTTTTGCTACTTGAATCGCAATGACGAAAATAAGACATAAAAGGCCTCGATCTCTACTCGTCTACTGAATATACTCACAATAGTTTAACTTGGTTTTCACTGTCCCAAGGCTTTTTACAGAAGAAGAGAAAAGCATAAGCTGATCTTGACAGCTTGACCCAACGTAGTTAAGCCATTACAAGGATTTTTTCACAGGCATCTACTAGGATAGAACAAGACGTACTTCTTGTTTCAAACATTTACTTCCAGAAAGTTATATTGGTAATAAATATGTTTATTAGAGCTGATTTTCGTAAATAATGGATTTGAGATTATTCTGTCCTGTTTTTGTATTCCGGCTGTCGTTGATTTCTAGATATTTTTACATGTTATATGAATCTATCGTAGAAATTGAAATGCAAGTATCTAGATAGAACTTATTCACGGTGTTCTGACTTGTGTTATGTAAGTGAATTGCCAGGGATTTATTTCTTAACAAGGGAAGCCAGTGGAAGTTTCTGAGATATTCAAGACTGCTGTCGTCAAAGGAAAGCATACTCTATACGTACCTGTCGCTTTTAAGAGGGCTCTGACAAGTGTTTTCGAAGGCTTCAAAGTTTCACAGTAAGTTAGTTTGTTTTATAGTGGTAGATTTTCTCTTATCAGATTTTCTTGGAAGGGAGACTTGTCCCAGAGATTGATACCGAAATATTTTCCTGTAGCAAAAA